TTCTTTGAAACTTGAGATTAAGATTACTTCATTCAGAAAGAATTTTTTTCCTTTTTGCAAGCATTTAGAGTTGCTAAATCCAGTATAATTTAAAAATAAATGTTTAATTAAAAGGTTTTATTGACTCACAGACAGTATGAATTCTAGTTCCAATATCATAAGCTTATATATACTTAGACATTTTCAGAGAGACCATATCCTTTTTCTTTTTCTATTTTGCTCAGTACTAGCACCAAGAGAGAAAATTATCTTCAGGAACTCTCTCTGTGAGATGGGCTTTTTCCAGTTCACCCACTGAGAGTATTGCCCTTAGGGGTTTATGAAGGAAGATTTCTACACCTGGTCTTTCACATGTACTTTGTCACTGGCTCCAGGGCTTTCTAGCCCTGTGATTGTGCACTTTCTTTTTATTCATGGTTTATGAGAAACTTTGTTGCATTTTTATCTCCATATATATTTTTAAATATTTTATCCAGAATTTTTAGTTGGTCTACATTGGAAGCAGTTTCAGAAAAATCTAAGCCACCATATTCTGAGCATTCTCTTCTACTCATGGGAAACTTTTGTTTAATATTGAGATTTCACATTCATTCAACAAATATTTGTTGAGTGACTACATGTAGATACATGAGTTAACAAAATATAACGTCTTCATCTTGATGGAATTTTCATCCTAATGGCTAGAAAACACGAATCACAGTAAACACAGTAAATAAATCAATAAACTAGAAAGTTAGATGAAAACAAAAACCATGAGCATGGGGATGGGAAGCAGAGTAGTAATGGAAGTGGGAAGAGCAGTTTAAACTGTAATATAAAGTAGAGTTGGTCACATTGAGAAGGTGAGATTTAAGCAGAGAGTTGATGTTGGTTAAGAATATGAAGTAAGTCTATGGCTTCCTTGGCTATTGGGCTGGACATCAAATCAGGATAATCCTTTCTGCCTTGATCTGTGGATGACTTCATAGCTCCAGCATTTGCTCTACTTTGCATTTTATAAAGGGAGGATGGGATAAATGTGGGAGTGATAGGTAGTGGAGAAGGTCTACACCACCAAATCTGGCTCTTCCTTATCTGCTCTATTTTGCAATGAGTAAACAGTCATATTGTGATAATTTCTATGAAATAATTATGCAAATGTATTATTGTAGCAAAGTCTTTCATTAAAATAGTCTCAGGTATATTCAAAATTTAAATTTTTTCATTCATAGTTCTCTGGGATTCCTCTATCAATAACTAGATTTATCTATAGCTGTTTTCCAAATGATTGACTTGTGAGATTAGATAATTGTTTATTTTTTTTCTTATGCCAAGTCATAGGCACTTAATATACAAGAGGGTATTTTATGTAAGTACTCATTTGTTAGGAGAATAACTTCCTTTAAAATGCCATAGAGCTGGTTCAGTGGCTCATGCCTATAATCCCAGCACTTTGGGAGGCTGAGGTGAGAGGATTGTCTGAGCCCATGGGTTCAAGACCAGCCTGGGCAACTTGGTGAGACCTTACCTCTACAATAAATAAAAAAGTTAGCCAGGTGAGGTGGCATGCACCTGTAATTCCAGCTACATGGAAGGCTGAGGTGAAAGGATGAGGCTGTGGTGGCTGTCAGCATGCCAAAGCACTCCAGCCTGGGCAACAGAGTGAGACTACCACTCAAAAAAAAAAAAAAAAGTACCATAGAAATCAGAAGGCATGACTTACATTACAGTTATCATTGTATAACTGAAAATTAGATAATCATTACTCAATTCTCCTATGTATATTTCTATTTCAGAATTTGTGAGCTATAAATATTATGTATATTTGTCTGCATATAAATATTCATTTATAACAATGAAGAGGTTTGTGCTTAATATAGGTTAAAATTTGATGTTTTCTTTGGTATTTGTTTCGGTGTGGAAACTTACAGAGATAATCAGTAAATGCAAAGTTCTCTCTAACAAAGTTATTTCTTAGCATTTAAAAAGCAAACCAAACATTAAGGAAAATATAATCAGAAAAATATCCCAATAGGGAAAATAAAGTTTACAAATAGCATTAATTAGTGCTTTCTTTTTTAGTACTGTTCTTTCTCCAGTAGTCTGGCTTTACAAGGAGAACAGGCATCCATTCAGCTAATGCAAACTACCTCAGAATTGTTGATCCTCAGATATATTCCTGCTTTACAACTGTTTTAGTATGTTAGGTTAATGGACTAGAGTTTATCTTAATTAAGTAGATGTCCTTTAATAATCTTTCTATTCACTAGTTTTCATTTAAACTGAGACCTTGCTGATGAGAATAGCCAGTAGAGAATTATTCTTTTTATCGTGACTTCTTCTAACTGACCTGAAAACTGAAATAAAATGATTTGATTAAACTTGTGACTATTTCTGAACATGTGATAACAACAGAAAGAAAATGAACAATGTCTGAAGTTCAGTTTCTGTGAATCCTGATTTTTATTTGCCTTAAGATAAAAACTAAATTGTTATTTCTTGTGCTGTTCTAATACTTTTAGGTTATATGGGTATGAGTTTTGATAAGGCTATTTAAAATCTAATTTTTAAATACAATTTTAACATTATATTTTAAATGTAAATGAATGTGCCCTTAAGATAATAATAAATAAAATTTCACCTATAAGGTCCATGGTTAAATTTTTTTTCATTTAAAATTGTGTTAAATTCTGTAGATCTTTCTATGTTGTTTGCCATTTTCTGTGTCAAACCGGAAGAAAGGGTATACATATAACAATATTTATCTTATCATACTGGCATAAGGTTTTAGAAATGGGAAGCATGATCAGAGGCTGAATGAGTAAAATTAGGGAAAACAATGGAGGAGGGGGGTAATCATGCGGTTATCTTTTTGTAGTCAAAAATACTAACACTGATATTGTTTATTAATATTACTAGTAATATAACTTATTGTTATTAATATTAGTATTAATAAAATAGTAGTATTTTTAGTTATTCAATTGTGAAAACCCTTTGTTATACGTCATTAAATTTGGTTGTTTACCTAGATGAGAAGGCTTTTGTTATATTGTTTTTACTGAGATGAATACCTGTTATGATTATCATAAAGACTGTAGACCATTATTCATTTCAAATGCCACCTCTAAGGAATAAGACTGCCTTATAGATTATTCTACAGTAGTTTGGCTTTTTCATTATTGACTTGACTTCAGCACAAAGAAAAATTTTCATGACCTTTATTATAGTTGATATTGTATGTGCTTCTCTATGCCATATATAGGGCTTGACTTTCAAGATTCACAGCAGCATAGATCTGAAAGTTATAAATAATAGATGTCTTTAGTATTTGTTCAATTGCATCATTTCCTTATCTATAATAATTGACAGGCACCTCTATCTCTTTTTTATATCTTTATTTTTTGATTAAAAGAAATTAAATAGTCTCCACTCTCATAGAATGTAGAGGAGTTCCTATAAACTTTTTAAGAGAAAGATCTATGAGAAAATGTCTCCTTGCCTATACAATTTACACATAATTCTACACACATATTATATTTTCACATATTAAAATAATCTTAAGTAATCATTTTTTGGTTTTAAGAACCATAATACAAAACAATAGAAGAGTTATCATAATTTTTTATTTACGCAAAATAAATGATTGGCAACAGTATAATAACCTTTTAATATTTTTATTATAAACTTTGAGCTCTGAATATTACATGAGAAAAGGAAGATAGCATATCCTCATAAACATATCAGCAAAATTCCTGAAATGCCATTTCATATATGTTTAAACACTTTTTCCATTGTATGTTACAATTATGTTTTGCTAATGGTAAGTTATATTTAACAGTTATTACCATGTTAATGTTTTACACATAATTTTTAAAGAACTATGCTATTCTCTAGCTTCTTTATTATTTTGATAGCATCATTAATTTTTATCATGTTGATATCTGCTCTTTACACTGGGAAATAAATGGAAATGCTTTTGAATAACCAAAAAACTTATCTTTATAAAATTATGGGAAAGTTATATAAATATGTCTTTATATTTGGGTTATTACTACTGTGTTTGAGGTTTTCAGATTATAATAGTGCTATGTTTCAGAATGAGCAGAGAAGAAAATTAATTTGAAATATTAATTTTAATTTGTATATTTTCAATTGATTCAAGTATTTAAATTAAATGTTGATGATTTAAAATGTTATTTAGATTAGATTATTTTTAGATTAAAACATTGATTTTTATAAAGTTGTAATAGAGTTCACTTGCAAATATATTTTGACCTTAGGGTGGCTTCACAAGTGTGAAATAATAATGCTAATAATAACATGATTTATTGGGCAATACTATGTACCAGGCATCATGCTAAGTTATTTGTATGCCCTATGTGCTTTATATGCTACTTAATCATCACATGTAGGATACAAAATTTAAGGACTCCTTTTTTTTCCATAATAAAGATGAAAAATCTGAAGCTCAAAGGGGTCATATGATTTATCTCAGGTTGCACAGTAAATGGCAGAGTAGGTTCAAACTAGGCCAACATGGCCTCAGAGCCCCTTCCTTTTAACTACTACTGTATTCAGTAGAGTGTTGGTACAGGCTCAAGGAACATGTTCTGGAAGGTCAATTGCTAAATTTTCAGGGTTTTTCTGAGCTTACTGTTAAACTACTGGCCATTTGAAATTCGCTACCTAGGAATATTTACTCCTTGGATATCAGCAAACACTACAGATGGAGTCTTCTCCCATACTCCCCTTCCCCTCTTCCACCAGACAGTTTACTTTGCCTTTACTGGCAAAGCTTGTCAGTGGTTACAATGTTACATATATTGCATTACAGATACAAATACAAGACATTTAAAAAAATGTTTATATTAAATAGGTACTATTTATAAACTGGATCTATTAAGACATGTATCATTAATATTTATTGGTTTAAATATGCCAACTTTTATTGCTACTATAGCTAATATAATTTCTTATAGAGAAGAATGTGTGAAATAATGAACTATCTCTCTTATTTTCAGTGATAGTGGAAAGTGGAAATATAATTTCTTTCGTGGGTTATATTAATTCTGGACAGTGCAAAATTTATAGAAGTATTATAGGACTTGTGAAGGTACAACCGAATAAAGTGGTAAGTTTTCAATTTTTGAAGTCTCTTTAATCAATTAATCTGCTCTAAGGAATAAAGGATGTTGAATGTCTTTCTATGTACTTATTGGATATTTGCACTATTTTGTGAAATCTCTCTTCCTTTTTGAACTATTTTTGTTGAGCTTTTCTTAAAAATTTATTTTTAAGATATAGGACTGTAAGATGAGTTGTAAGACACTGATTTGAGAGATGTAAGAATGATCAATGACCACATTAAAATATGCTTTACATTCTCATTAATCAGAGAGATGCAAATTAAAACCATAACAAGCTACTATTACAATAATATCAATTTGGTTAAGATGTACTTTATCATTAAACCCAGCAATGCCTCTCTAGATATTTTCTCAAAAGAAATGAAAATATATGACTACACAAAGACTTACATGAATCCTCACAAGCTAAAAACTGGAAGTAATACCAATGTTTACTGACAGTTGAATGGATAGAAACATTGTGGTATATGTACAGAATGGAATGCCACACAACAGTGAAAAGAACTAATGATACATGCAAGAACATGGAGAAATCTCAAACATATTAGGTTAGACAAAAATGTCAAACACAAAAAGAAATAATCTTATATGATTTTGTTTTTATGTAGTTCTAGGACAGGGAAGATAGAAAAATTAGAACTAATCCTTGGTTGATCAGACAGTCTTCAATGGAATTCAAGTAAATATGTAAACTGACTTGATTTCTGCTCTGCTAGTCATATTCAGTATATTTACCATATATACACACACACAGACACATATTGACAAAAACTCAAGTTATATTGATTTTTCTCAAGCCTATTTAGTAAAGGCTTTTACCTCTTCTGAATTCTTGTCCCTCCTACACTGAAGCCTCCATTCTTAGTGCTCATCAACTCATTTGTTTCAATACCAAAGGTATCTCCCAGAAAAGATAATTTAGGGTCTCAACTTTTTCTTCAGAATGACTCACACTGAAAGTCCCATAGGACCTTCTTCAAAAAGTCCCATATTTGGACTGAAATTTCTAATTTTCTGAGTCAAAGTCATTTTCCATATATTACTTTGTATTTAAACAGGAAAAGCAGGGAAGATTTCCTCCTCTTTCAGTTAATCCCATCAGTCTTGGCCCCGGCACTTTTTACTTATTTTATTTTTTCTCTTTTTGTTGTACAAGCATACCTTGCAACTGGGGTTGAGGTAGTAAATAGTGGCTCACAAACATCCTAAGCTAAACCATGCTTACAAGATGGTATCCTAGATCCTTGAAAAATCGAATTAATTCAATGTTTTCTAAACGTCTTCTTGTATTAGAAAAAAAATTTTTTTTGAGTTGGAGTCTCACTCTATCACACAGGTTGGAGTGCAGTGGCACACTCATGGCCACCCTAGCATCAACCTGCTGGGCTCCTGCAAGCCTTCCGCCTCAGTCTTCCAAGTTACCAGAACTATAGGTGCACGACCACACCTGGCTATTTTTTTATTTATTTATTGTAGAGACAAGGCTGGTCTCGAACCCACGGGCTCAGGCAATTCACTTGCCTAGGCCTCCCAAAGTGCTGGGATTACAGGCTAAGCCACAAAGCCTGGCCTGAATTAGAAAATTTAATTGGCAAATTACTAAATGACAATGCTTTCAATTATCTTAGATATGCTGACGTTGTCTATGAATTTACTATTGCTGTAATATAATTTGAACACCTATGTAGGTAAATGTTTCTCTGACTTGTATACAATTGCTAATTTATTCTAAATACCATATAGTAAAATAATTTATAAATGAAAGGAGGGACCTCTAAAATGTAAGAAGCCGCTTAAATTTAAAAGTAGACCTTTTTTTTCCCCTAGTTACCCCTTCACTGTCCTTGGATCTAGTAACTGTGGCTGGTACTGAAGGCAACACAACCATCTTCATTGAGCCCCCTGACAAGCAGGAAATACGCACAATGGACTGCACGTCCCTGGAAACACCTCTGCCAGACGTGGATAAAAAATAGGGTCTATTGAAACTTTCTAACACCCAAAAATGTATCTGTTCCCTTCTGTTCCCTTAGTCTCTAAATGACAACCGCTTTCTTTCATGTCTTTGTATTAATTTTATGTATAATGTTTAAGCAAGCCTTGTAAACTAGAACTCCTGGAATAAGAAAAAACTGTAGCCAACTAGAAAGTATACAGACCAGATTGTTCAAGGCATTTGTGCTTCTGGCTCTGATATATCATTACCAGTTTACTGCGGCCAGCCTTCTGCCCCCCCACCTGGAGCCATGAGATACTGGAACCTGGTGATGTTAAGACACAAGACATACGTGACTTCTGTTATCTACATTAAAAAACAAAACAAAACAAAACAACAACACCAAAAAACTCTAGACGTTCTTCCAGCCCAAATTCCTCTTCAAGAGTCTTAATATATTCAGCTTTCCAGTCACACTTGCCTCTGTCACTTCCCTTTCTGTCTATGGAAGGTAAATAATAAACTTTACTTTTTTTTACTTCATACTTGGTTACAATTTTGCATGATTCCTGCAAGATACCAGCCCACCTTTTCTCAGGTTATTTACCCTTTCAATAAACAAGTGAGTTCTTAAAATACGAGTATTTATTCATTATAGGAAATCAGTTGCATTAAACATAAATTATCTATATTTTTTACAGAAAAAATCTCGAAAACTTGTTTACATGGGTAAACTTAAGGAGAAGGAGTCCTTTGGTGAGATTAGTGTTCTTCTTCAAGTTCCTTTCACATGCACAATCATTACAGAAAAAGAGGTTGAAATGGCAATCATTGAAGATAAAGATCTATTGGGTAAGTTCATAAATGTCTTTTAATTTAACTATTGTAGCATTTTAGTGGATTTTTTTTTAAAGAGTGGAGATAGTTCATAGAAAATTGGGAAGCTCAAATGAGTGTTATTTACAGAGACAGCCCCCTTCATAACATATTCTAATTTAATTATGCTACAGTTAAAATATATTAGCAATATTTCAAAAGACTTGAAATGACTCAAATCTCAGCCAGTTTTCAAGTTACCATTAATAGCAACACTCCCCACTTTTCTGAGGCATCTTCTGGTTTTTATCTCTAAGATTATTGCTTTTATGTTTTGGGTTCGGGTCAAGTATATACTATCCTCAATGTAAAATCTAGATCAAGAATATATGAAAATTGATTGCTTGCAATATTTGAGCATTTATCTGAGATTTTGGAGCTCTAGCAATAATAAAAGAATAATGCAGCCACTTGTGTTTGGCCCTCCAAATATTATAAATAGTCAAATAGGAAATGCAATTGAGTATAATGGAGAAATGAATAGAGACTAATAAGTCATAACATAATAGGATATTAATGAAAAGTACGGCTTTATGTACAATAAAACTGAGAATGTCAAACATTGGATAAAGAATGAAAGAGGAAAAATGTGTAGAAATAAACATGGATGACAGATTTGCTTCCATAAACGAAATTGAAAAGTTTTTCATGATTATTCATATATGATTTGAATGAATGTTATCTTGAATTTCAATTATTTTTATGTTGCTAGAAAATATGAAACTTATCCTTGTGTAACTCTGATTCAAAATGAAAAGAATAACTTCAATTCATGTACCTACTTTAAAAAGTTGTACATTTGAAATGAGATGTGTTAATATTTTTTCCTTCTGTGACGTTTAAATACAAGCCTCTCTTAAGATAAAACATTGCTTAAAATAATTACTAACCACTGGTTATGATTTCAATATTCTCACTTGATACAAGCCATGTTTTTCTTTTCCTATAGTAATGATATTAACTGGTTCAAGGCAAATATATCGTGGACTTTTTTATGTAAATCAACATTTCATACATTATATTATTCAATATTCTCCAGAGAAACAGAAGCCATAACAGGATACTTTTTATGAGACTTGGCATATGATTGTAGAAGCCACAAATTCCCATTATATGCTGTCAATAAGTGAAGAACCAAGAAAGCCAGTGGTGTAATTTAAGTTGTATCCGAAGCCCTTTCAGAACTAAGGGAGCTGTTGCTGCAACTCCAAGTCTGAGGCCAAAGGGCTGAAAATTGGAAAAGGGCAATCAGGGGATGCTTGTTTTAGTACTGGAGTATGAAGGCCAGAAAACCAGGAGTGCCAATATCTAAGGGCAGGAATTCTCCTTCCTCTACTTTCTTTTGTTTATCTGTTTTTGTTTTTGTTTGAGTCGGAGTCTTACTTTGTCACTCAGGCTAGAGTGCAGTGGCACGCTCACAGCCACCGCAGCCTTGACCTGCACAGCTGGTCCTTCTGCCTCAACCTTCCAAGTAGCTGGAACTACAGGTGTGTACCACCATGCCTGGCTTAGTTTTTGATTTATTGTAGAGACAAGATCTTGCCAGTTGCCCAGGTTGGTCTTGAATGCCTGGGCCCAGGCAATCCTCTCACTTCTTCCTCCCAAAGTGTTGGAATTACAGGTGTGAGCCACCTTGCCCAGCTACTTTCTTATTCTACTCAGGCTCTCAGTGACTTTAATATTGCTTGCCCATATTAGTGATGATGGGCATTCCTTACTCTGTCTACTAATTCAAATACTAATTTTTTTCAAAAACATCATGCAGACACACCTAGACATAATATTTTATCAGCTACCTGGGTGTCCCTTAGTCCAGTCAAGGTGGCATGTAAAATTAACTGTCACACTCAAAAGTGTTTTTTTAAAAAATATATTAGAATATCCTTTGTCATCTTGCAGTCTAAAATTCAAATAGATGGGATAGTATACAATGTAGTTATATTTTTGTGTAAGCTATTAATATTTTAAATTTCAAAATAGTTTGTTCATTTGAGACTAATGTTTAAAAGATACTGACATGGTGTGTTCCCAATAATACATTCTCTAAACAGAAATGTGCTTGATGGCTATATTTTAGCTTGTTTTTCTACAACTTATAAGGAAATAGAATATTGTATTTATTTTACAAAGTATTTTTATTTCTACTTTATTGGTACTTATATTTTATTCCAAGAAAGCTAAAGGCACATTTAAATTTTTTATTTTATTTTATTTTAGATTCAAGGGTTACAATAAAAGATTTTTACACAAATTTATTGTATTTTGGCGAGGTTTGGGCTTCTGATGAGTTCACCCTCTTGGTTGTGAGCATGGAACCTCATGGGGTTTTTCAATTCTCACTTCCCTTCCCTGCCTCCCTTCTTAGTAGTTCCCAGTGTCTGTTGTTTCCATCTTTGTGCCACGTGTGCCCAGTGTTTAGTTTCCACATATGAGTGAGAATATGTGGCTGTCAGTTTTCTGTTTTTGTGATAAATCGATTAAAATAACGGCCCCCAGCTGCTTCCATGTTGCTGCAAATGATATGATATCATTCTTTTTATGGCTACGTAGAATTCCATAGGGTATATGTACCACACTTAATTTGTCCTGCCCACTGTTGATGGGCACCTGGGCTAGTTTTATGTTTTTGCTATTATGAATAGTGCTGCAATATACATACAAGCACAGGTGTCATTTTGGTAGAACAATTTATGCTCTCAAGGCACACTTTAAAAGCTAAATAATTCTAATGAAAAAATTAATGGTTAATTTTGCTGAAAGGATCATCTTCACACATGAAGAACAGTTATCTTCAATATGCACTTTCATATTGCTTTATTCTGTCTCCATCTGTTCTACTCTTTTTATTATCTAAAATATTGAATCATCTCTGTCAAATAGCATAGGGAAGGACCCAAGAGAAAGAAAAATGAGCCTTAAAATATCAAGTTGAAGACAAATGAAAATGTTTATACTAGAAAAATAAACATGAGCAAAACCATATGTCATCTTGCTATAAAGCGTTATTATTAACTGTTATATTATACCAGTGTTAGGAATAAGTACTTAAATTTGAAGTGGTCCATTAAACAATAAACAAAAATAAATAAAATTATGTTCCAACAAAATCTCAATCATGTGTTGATTATGTTACCTTTACTTTTTAACATAGCAAAAATTGTTAAATATAGAAATTCTGTAGAATTATAAATGTATTGCTGGAAAATTAAAGTAGTGTTTATACCTTTACCCATATCTACAAGTCACACTCTTTATTTGCTACCATATAAATCATGTAACGATCCAGTTCCCCTTAAATGAGTCAACAATGTTTAATAAATACCCAAAAAGTCCTTTCGCTCACTACACCTGTTAGGTATAGGTTGAATAGAATCTAGAAAATATAAAACACTGCATAATTTTTAAATGTTCTATCTGAAGAATTATATATGAAGCTATCTACATAAAGTTATAGATGAAGTCATGCAATAATTTGTTTTGTAATACTTAAAAGGACTTGAGTAATTTCTTTATTTATATTGCTATCTTTAGAAAGATAGGAAGTACCTTTTAAAAAATATATATGCATACTTCTCTGACATTACTTGGAGCATTTAAATAAAAATAAGAACAATTATTAAATTTAAGCAAATATCAATTTATTATTTTTTATGTAATGCTGCCGAAAATATAGTTTAGCTGATTATTGTTTTTATGCAAGTAATAAATTTTTTCCAGATGTAGACTTATACCTCAAGTCATGTATATAACAAAAAATGCAAACCAACATAACTATCTAATTTTACTGCTATCTGAAATTCTCCTTCCACCATTAAAACAAGTGTACAACCGGTCTTGGTGGCTCAGCCTGTAATCCCCTGCCTTTGGGAGGCTGAGGTGAGTGGATTGCCTGAGCCTGTGGGTTCGAGACCTGCCTGGGCAGCGAGATCTCATCTCTACAATATATCAAAAAATCAGCCGGGCATGGTAGTGCATGCCTGTAATTCTGGCTACTCAGAAGGCTGAGGTGGAAGGATCGCCGGAGCCCAGCAGGCGAGGCTGCAGTGGCCGGGAGCGGCCACTGCACTCCAGTCTGGGCGACCGAGTGAGACTCCAACTCAAAAAAACAAAAAAACAAGTATACTACTTTTGTAGTTAGAAGAAATAACTTTTTGTATAAAAAAGAATTACCATGGTGTTTATCATATTTCATTCAGCTACACATAATTAAAAAGCAAGGAAAATTCCAATTCCAAGGTGACATTGGTATAAACTAAAAGTTCTTGTTTGTTTTTAAAAAGGAAAGAATATCCAAATACTTTTATTTTTCATATTGCTTGATAAAAAACATAAGAGATCAGATCTTTTAGCACAGATGTTTCTGTGAGGCATTTCAGGGACAATAAATATATTCTTATCAAAAACACTTTCCCAACACATCAATATTTCTTTTAATGCTGAGACAAGTTATAACCATATTTCTCCTTCTTAAGAGGGCTAATCAAAAGAGTTTAGATTTGTAACAATTTACCACAGGAAATGTGCTTCCCTTTCCCCTTTTGTATTTTTTGTTTTTGTTTTGTAATAAAAATTTTTATGCAAAATGTATTTTCAAGATAAAAATAAGATATGACAGATTTTTAAATACAATAAAAATTCTTAAAAGCATTTTCTTCTCTTATGATTTATTTTACTCTACTAATAAATGTTATAAGAACAAAAAAAAATTAATACAAGTAAAATTTTTGGTTTTTATTTTTGAATAAAATTTTTAACTGAATAAAAATACTATATATTATGTAATTTCTCAGCATATTGTTTTATTTCCTTAAGTGTTTTATAATCATATTGAAAGGATATTTTGTTAACGAGAAAATGAGCTAAATTTTTTTTTTTTTTTTTCTTTTGAGTCGGAGTCTTACTCTGTCACCCAGACTGGAGTGCAGTGGCACGCTCCCAGCCACCGCAGTCTCAACCTGCTGGGCTCCGGCGATCCT